GCAATCGGTGGCGTAACTTGCCCGGCGCTGCCTTCCATTTATCCTGAAACTGTGGTCTCAGTCTGTCATCCATCGCTCCCACGCAGCCTTACTGTGAACGGCCGCTTCAAACCGATGTCGAGCGGTGGAAGTTCCTTTGTCAGACCCCCGGGATAACGGCGAGCACAGCGTTCACCCAGCCTTTTCATTTGCGTTAATATCATATGTCATCAGAGCGCTGTCTGTCTCGCTGTCAGCTCCCAGATCAGCTTCTCTGATTGGTTGATGCGGCGCGTCCAGCAGCAAAACTTCAATTTTTCCATCTGAGCAGCAGCAGCGCGTTGGCGGTGCATCAGATGCTTAAACGCTCCCGACGTGCTGCACCAAAACGCGCTGCGGGACCTTTTGCTGCACCTATACGCGCGTCAACCATTGACTTTGCATGTAAACTCGCTGCTTCTGCTGCACCTGCTGGGTCCGGTTCACACCGATGTCGAGCGGTTGAACAGCGAGCACAGCGTTAATTTGTTTCCCCATGTTTTTCACATCAGCTGTGAGATGGGCACGCATGGAGTTACAGATTAATGGTGATGAGTGGAAAAAAACACCTGGTCTCCTTACATTCAGCCACTCTTTCATCATCTCCTCAATGAGGTGGTCTCAAAAGTCGCAGTTACAACACACATAGGGCGCACCGCACCATAGGGCGCACCGCACATTTTGAGGGAAAAAAAAGACGTTTAAGTGCGCCTTATAGTCGTGAAAATACGGTATATCGCTGCTGGCGGAGAAAAAGCTAGAGGATATATATATACGTATATATGTGTGTGTGTGTGTTTACATACATACAGGAGTCATGGAACTCTGCTTGCAGCTCCTTCATATTTCATGTACACTAATAACTTGTGTACATGGTTCTTGTTGATGGCATTAAAATAATTTCTAATTGCATTAAAATAGCATTAAATTAGAGTCACTCATTCCTGTATGAACCCTGTGAGCGCTTAATTTAATATGACATATTAAAAAAATCCCACCATCATCCAGCATATGTTCAGTTTCTGCCCAAATATATATATATATTTTTGTAGATTTTTGTAACGGGGATAAGGATAATTCAAAACTGCTTTTTTTTTAATGAACTTGTTCACTACTTCCAAACTCAGCATCTCTTTTCATTCCTGTAATAAGAAGTTTCTTTTGAATGGATTTGATTAAAGTTTAAGTCCCTCGGTATAAAATAAATATTTTGATGGAGATGAGAAATCTGCTTCCTCGTTGGTGAATAACCAATAGTTTGGATCCAATCATTTAAATAAACGGTGTTAGTTTTTTTTTTTTTTATATATATATATAAGAATTGTGCTATAATTTCTAGTCACCGATCTGTTGCTGCTATATTTTAATTTGACAAACCGGAATTTGTCGATGTTCTTTTTCCTGTTTGGTGCGATTGCAATCGCGGATCTTGACCTGGCTGGACCTTATGACCACAGTGTACCAATCTTCTGATGGCTACTTCCAACAGGATAATGCGCCATGTTATAAAGTGAATCATCTCAGACTCATTTCTTGAATCTTTTCCACTTAAGTAATTGTGAATTTAGAATATTGACAGAAAACATTTTATTTTTCATCTTAAATGCAATTTTTTTTTTTTTTATAATTACTGCTCTAAATGTATTGCTCTGTCAGCTAAAGATCTGTTTTGGTCTCTATACTTTAAATAAATAAATCAATTCAAGCTAAAATGTAAGAGGCTATACTAAGCCTGATCTCTTTGTATCAGAGATTTTCTTACCCAGATGTCACTTGGGGTAAAACCCCCCCCTGCAACCCTGGTTTGCATTTGTATAGCTCACAGCATGTTCATTTACATGTTAAAGCCTCCCCTAGAATTCCATGGGGGGGAGGCATGGGGGGAACACTGCCTAAGAGAGTCCACGTCAATTTCTGACAATTTACGGGAGTTTTCGGCGAAGCCTGCAAATTGTCGTAAACTGCCGCTAACCTGAAGTTCCACGACAATCTACAGTGCCGCATATTGACGAAAATCCAACTTTTCATGCAGTGAAAACTAAACTTTCCCAAAACTATTTTTGATTACAGATTATTGTTCTTTAAAGTAATAATTTCAAGGTAAAACTAAAAGAGAATACATTAATAAAAATATAAGATGAAGGAATTTTGGTGGAATAAATTGTTTTCTTCCATGTTACATATACTTCTACTTAAGTAACAAATGTATGTACTTTTGATAACACTGGCAAAAAGTCTTCAGATGCTGAAGCACATTTAGCCTTTTTGGTACATTAAGTAACTTCCATATCCTAACAAAATAATCCTGTGCCCAAAATAAAAAGAAAGCACCACATAACATCAGATATTGTGTTTGATTCAGTTTTTTCTTCTGTGAATTCACAGGTTCTTTCTGGGACAGGTAATGTCAACTTATGCCTTCAATCTGTGCAGGTTCCCTACTTGAAAGGAGTGGGAGCGATTATGCAGTTTTAAACAGCTGGATTCCACTCAAAGACCAACAAGATTCCTACTTTTCTTCTCTTTATTTTCAAATATTTTTGTGAAGACAGGTGACCATAATTGTCTCACTGCAGGTAAAAACATTAAAGAAAACCAAAAAATAATGTACTAAACTAAACAAAGAATTTCTCATAGTTCAATAATATTTACACACAGAAACAACCGATAATCAACTAAACTCAAAATCCCCAAATTAGAGTGAATATCAGTTTCTCTACCACCAACCACTTTAAAGTGCATCATCAAAAATGATTGAATACCATACACCATAACATCCACTAGAGGGCCTCGTACATGAACCACAAATAAAGTTCAGCTTTTGAAGGAGAATCTGTGACTCTGGGATGTAAACCAGTAATTCATATGCATATCTTTGCTGGTACCAGCAAAAGGAAGAGAGTTCTCCAACCTACATGCTGAAGCGTTACCAAGGATCTATAGAGAATAATCCAAAGTTCAGCACAGACAGATTTAATGCTGATATCAACACAGAGACACAAAAGAATTCAGTAAATCTGATGATCCAGGATCTCCGTCTGTCAGACTCAGCTGTGTAATATTGTGCTCTGCAGCCCATAGTGACAGGAAACACCAGAACTCTGCACAACAATATACAGAGAAATAATGACAATATTCCACAACTTCCACTAGAAGGCCTCACGCACTGTTCCTCCTCTGTGGCACTCTTTGAGTTTTTGGGCTGCATCTTCCAAGGAGCGGTCTACCTGGACTGCATCCTTTGAAATCTGTGAAAATAAGGAGACCAGAAGAGTTTGGGCTGTGGATTCAAACAGGTTCAGCCATCAGCGGCTTTCAATGCCGTACGCTCTGTCGCTTAGCAAATGTGACAGTTGACATAGAAAGCAGGAAAAGAATGAATACCGAACTTTCCAAACTATTTGTTATTCATTTATTTTTTATTGTAAAGTGAACAAAGACTACACTCACAAGAATCCAGAATGGAATAAAGGTTCCAACCACCGGGAGCAGGAACAAATCAAATCAAATGTAATGATAGAAACCTTAGTCAGTTAAATAACCTGCTGCTGTCATTCTGCACATCTCTGATGTTGCTGCTATTTTCAAATATCCATTACTGTAAAAATGTCCATAGCTGCATATTGGTTATTTATTCTCCAGTTTGATATTGTTAAAACACTTTACAGTATTTTATTCTTTATCTTTTAACTCTTCACTATTATGTTATTATTAGACATATTTTCTAAGGTCCACATTTGTGTGACCTTATTCTTCTTTAATCTTTTTTGCTGCTGTAAACACCAGAATTTCCCCATTTTTGGACAATAAAGGGATTTTCTATTCTATTCTATTCTATTCTATTCTATTCTATTCTATTCTATTCTATTCTATTCTATTCTATTCTATTCTATTCTATTCTATTCTATTCTATTCTATTCTATTCTATTCTATTCTATAAAATGAGTAGAAAGATATAAGTAATTTTTAACAATGTGTGTATAAGAAATATCTGCAAAATCTCTGATATTCAACAGCAAAAAATATTGAAACAGATTTAGCAAAATAACAATTGAAAAAATTAAATCCTATCAGATTTATAGTCCCCACCCTGCAGATCTATTAGAATCTGTCCTTAAATTCCAGCCAAACCCATTTACACAGTAACAGATAAAAACCTTTAGATAAACCAAACATTACCGCCACATATCTGACTCTATAACCATTAAAACAACTATTTTCATTTATTTCAGACGGAACTATTCACAGACTGGATTATAATAAACTGAACTTCCAATATTCACCACTGTTCGGCACCAAGTACCATTTTCCTCTGACCACGGAGCAGCCGGCTTGCTTGGTCTCTCAATGAATCCTGGGTAAACCAGGGATAGAGAGGATACATCGGACCCGTCCTTCAAATCACGCAAAAAGAAGGAAGCATTTGTAGGCTGCATAACGAGGAGTCTTTGAATCCGACCAGACCTCGGCGCCGCGCTATGACGTCTTTAAATCTGGCCTTCTGAGGACGCAGCCCATAAATTGGAACACAGTGTATGTCGTTCAGTGTTTGGTTTTATTATTTCATTATCGATCAACTTAATGTATTTTATTTGTACAAGAGTTCAACAACTGTTATCTAGAGCCACTTAACAAAAACATCTCATTAATATTAAAGAAATCAAGACAGATTTAATGTCCATTATTAAAAATTCTGCTATGATCCATGCAGCATTTAACTATAGTTTATTCTCTTTATGACCTGCTTTGCAATTTTTCTTTCTCCTGAAACTGTTTATAGTCACTATAAATTGTGCCATACAGGAGATAAAAGAATATTTCACTAATCTGCTGTTGAGGCAGCAGTTCCCTTGCTATTTGGAGTTAAACCAAGTTAGTTGAAACATTCTTTCATATAGAAATGCAGTAAAAAGGTAAAGAAAATGAGGCTGAACACATTTTAGAGTCAGTAAAATCCTTTAGATGATCTTTTCTTAAACCAGAAGAAGCTGTGAGTCTGTTCAGCAGGAGGAAGAGGAGCTGAGAGCTTCAGGGAGGAGCTGAGCTGTTACTGAACTATAGAAGAGACACAAACTTCCACATTCAACACAGTTCAAACATTAACTCTGATCATCATGCTGTCTTTGCTCACATCTGGATTTACTCTGCTGGTTCTGCTTATAGGAACAGGTTAGTTGGAGTCTTTCAGAGAACTATTTGATCCTTGTTGTTCTTCATTTATTTTATTTTCTTCCTTCAGGTGTAAACTGTCAGCAACTCACTGCAGCAAAGACTGAAGAGTTCAGTCTAGAAGGCAGCTCTGTTACTCTGTCCTACACTTACTCCAAGAAAGCAGATGGGGGTGATTATTTCTTCTGGTATCGACAATATCCTGGACAACCTCCAGAGTTCCTGATCTCTCACTTAGGAACAGGACAAGAAACCTCTCAGAAGGTTCCTGGTTTTTCCTTCAAAGTGAGTGATGATAAAACCCAGATGGACCTGCTGATCTCCTCTGCTGAGCTGACAGACTCTGCTGTGTACTACTGTGCTGTGAAGCCCACAGTGACAGGAAACACCAGAACTCTGTACAAGAACCTGCAATACTCCACAGCATCCACTAGAGGGCCTCACACACTTCATTATACTGAATTATGTCTCCACTTGAGCCTTAGAGCTTTTCTAAGAGCAGAAATGATGTCATTGTGAGGATCTAAACTAGATTGGATCCATGGAGAAACTCATGATTGGACTTTAAAGCAGTGGTCCTCAGCCTGAGACATCAGGACATTGTTTCCCCCAAGTTTAGAGGAAACCCTTTGTCCAACAGGTTTCAGTGTAAAGAATGATTTCCTTCAGCAATTTGTTTTGACTCTGACAACTTTCCATCATTGTAAGTAAGGGGGATGAACAGTGCCCAGGAAGAACAGGGCTGATTACCATGCAATATGAGCCGTTTACTGTGAACTGCTGTGAAAGTGCTGACTGAGTGAAATCCATCAGTCTCTCTTTATTTAACTGGGGTGAAGTTCAGGTTGAATACTTTTTCCCACTAAAAGCTCCAACATCTGCAGAGCTTCCTGCAGATGTTGGACTGAAATTCTGTCCTTCTCAGAGCCTCTGAGTTTGGACAAGTTCTGCTGGGACAATCGGTCCTGCATCGGCTCCCAGGAATTATAGCAGAGAACATTTTTAGAGGTTTTTCCTCAAAAATGCCTGAGAACATTTGAAAGCTGTGAAATTATATTTATTATATAAAATTGAGATGATATAATTAAAATGTGAAGTAGATACAGCTGAAAATTAGACTATTTAACTAAAACATTTGTTCCATTTAGCTAATTAATGTTTTTTTTCATGTACTTCATAGTGGACTATTAAATATCAGGATAAATTTGTTATATTTTATTATTTCTATAATCTGTTTTGCCACAGACCATTAAGAATAAGTTTCAGTGGAATTGTCTAATGGTCTGTAGGGACGCCGCCATGATTATGGCTGTTTGAATTAATTCTGGTTATAAGTTTACAGACATCCCAAGTTCAAAAAACTCATTTCAGGGAGATGCTCATACAATAATTAATTAAATTCAAATCCCAGCAACACAGATTTACTTCCATACTCCATCCTCAGAGTGTCTGTAGGTAAAGTCCTGCTGGTGGAGAGGTGAGCTTGGAAAGGTCCGTAGCAGGAAGTTGCCAGTTCAGTTTATTCTATTGCTTCTGTGGTTCTTAAAGGGTTGGTGGTATTCAGACTGGTCTCTACTGGTCTGATTTTGCTGTGATATGATTAATCTGGTTAATTCTGGTTCCACCAATCAGAGAAATATTTAACTTCCTTTGATCTTCACCTGCAGACAAACATCCCAAAAACAACAAACTGAAAAAAAAAACTCAAAAGCAAAAGAAGTGAGGAAAACTGCATGAAGGCATCTAACAAAAACAATGTTATTGTTGCTGAATCTAATCTTTTGAAATATTTAAAATGTTTAAAAAATATACATACATTTTTGACATCTATTTTAGCATCTTTTACATCTCTGTTGGATATATAAACCTATATAATAGAGGCTGTAATGCTCCCTTCCATGCTGTCAATCACTGTAATAAACAAACCTGAAAAATGCTGTTTTATTTGTTTCAAGAAATAAAGATTAAAAGATTGATAATGAAAAATATATTTCTCTCTAATCTCCTTCTGATCCCCCATGTATCTTTTTACCCTTAATGGAGAGAAAGTCTTGTTGTCTTAGAAAGTAATTTAAGATAATTTAATGAGCATTTAGTTAGTTACTGGGTTGAGTTTATGTTTTAAGGGGCACAATTTTAGATTAAAACTACTGACATGGAGAATATATCTGTGATAAATCAACATTTTAAAAAATCTGAAAAGAAGTTTTATCAACAAAATACCAAAACATCTGATTTTAGACTCAACTTTCATATTTGATATGTAACTTGGTCATCATGAGGGAGGATTGAAAACTAAGAGTTTTTTTTTAGTGGGGGTCAAGATCTATTCCTAATATCTTCTAAATTACCAAATAGATCTTGAGCCTCCATGTGCGTCATTATATACAGTAAACGTTCCTGTTAGTAACAAAAAATGTCCCCAGTCCTTGACATGGTGCTTAACCAGACTCTTAAGGAAGCGACAACTGCGGAAACAGAGGCCGATTTAACGGTTTATTTTCTGGTAAAATTAAGAAGAGCTCAGTCAACTTAGACAGTAACAGGGAGAGAGAGAGTCCGAGTTTGGATGCTGTTGGATGGTTGTTGGATTGAGAGTGGACAGGCAGGCTGATTGTTCCTGTAAGGAGTCACCAGAGAGGAGACAGTTCCAGAGCAGCGAGGAGATGAAGGAAACGGACCTGATCCTGGTGAGTGTTGTGCCATATGCCATGAACATACTTTTTTGACATTGGGAAGCAGTGTCCATATTTCATCCTGATAGGATGACCAGAGAAGAAAACACAGCTTTGGTGAATAACAGCTGGGGGACTTCAGCAGCCCCCCCTTTTTCAGCCAAAGCAGCCACATGGAAGTCACAGAGGTGTGACCAACCACCACCCCCCCTCTGTGAGGGCAGAACAAAACCACAGAGCATACAGGACTCTGTCTCTCTCTTCTTCACTTTTTCTCCCTCGTCTGATCCAGCCTGCTTCTGCTCCTGCGCTCAAAGCTGGGGCCCACTGTGGCCCACAGTGGAGATGCGGGCCCCAGGGGAACCAGATCCCCAGAACCATCAAGGATGAGTCAGAAATCTTCAGAACCTAACTGCTGCAAACAGAACTTTTGCAACACATTTCTCTTGAGTTTCAGAACTTACAGAGCCAAACTGGATGAAGACCATGCCCTGGGTTTGAGACTGAGGGGACCCCTGCTGTGAGACTGAGACAAAGAACCCCTGACTGCAGAGCTGCAAAACTGGATGAAACTCAAGCTTTCCAAACGGACATGCAAAAAGGTTTGCAGGTCTGGCATGATTAGGGACAGAACAAGCAATATGTCTTTTGATGATGCTAATCATATCGTGTGTTTACTGCTGAGTAAAGACAACGTTAATTGATGCTAAAGAATGGACTGCATGCTACGCTATGCTACAGGAATATGTGTTGAGCTGTTGCTAAAGCTTAGACAAGCTTTATTCACTAAGGATTTAAACACTGATATAACATTAGTGTTCATGTGTTCCTCAAATGCTCTTTACATTTCCATTACCAAGTATGACCAAGAGTCATTTAGTGGAAGCCTGATGTCTATTCGCTGCTAGCTATTTCAAGGAGGTAAAAGAATCATTTAACTAAAGGTTTTTGGTTCTTGATTAAGCAAATCCTTTAATAAAACATTATTTGGCCAAATAATGTTTTATTCACCTCATGGATTTGCATTGTGAATTGGTCTGAAAACATTCCAATTTCTTTAAAATTAGTTAAAAGCTAATTTGATCATATCCCAAATTCTTCCAGATAAACTTTGGTTTCAAACACAGAATCCATCTTAAACTGTAATATGTTTTTCAACCGTTTTCCCCTTCCTCTTTTTACATAGTAGTTAGTTTAGTTTAGTTGGGTTTCACTAGTCTTAGTTGAGAGTGTTAAACTGAAATATGTTTGACGTGGAGCTGAATGAATTTTGTTAATAAAATCTTATATTTTGAACAGAAGTTGTGGTGAATTTATTCCATGTATGTGCAGAAATAACTGTTTGACCATGATTAGTGCTCGAATCACTCTTTCATCTATTGTTCTAACACACAGTTAGTAGGACTGTGTGTCATAAACAGTATATAACAGCTGAAATAATATCTGATTAAATAAGATATTTTACCACCCCTACAGGGGAGGTCAATAAACATCTTAAAGTATCAGAAACATAAATTCCCAGCGGGCTGGGAATAGAATTTAACTATAGAATCACAACATAAATATGGCGTCCCTGGGTGGGCCCATTAATTGTAACATTTATTTAGCGTCCCATGCGACTGGACTCATTGAATGTAACATTTAATTGGTGTCTCAGTTTGGTGGTCATCGAATATAACAGTCATTTTGCACATATATGAGAATAAACCATTATTGAAAACCGTGTGAAAGCATTAACATCAGCTCTCACCACTCAATAATGAAATCTTAAACTCACAACTTAACAATCCAATACTAAATGTCTTAGCTTATATGAGAAGAAAATATAACCTTTGACATTCTTGGAGAATCAAAATATAGAAATTTAACTAAATCTAATAACTCCAAAATATCTCTTCAGCTAGTGATAACCAACTTTACTTCAAAGCAAAACTCAGATGATTCAAATGAATCTGATCACTTTGGTCCAACTAAAACTAAAAGATTTAACTCCCAAGTTAGTCTTATCGTTCGACCAAAATTTAAGCACATCTATACCTTGATGCTGCCATTTGTGGTTTCTATAACCACATCCCAAAAATGAAAACTCCCAAGTTATGCTATTTCAAAGTCACCTCCAGTCCAAAATAGGTTAGATGCCTCGAAATTTAACCTTAATCCCTTTGTCTATTAGTCTAATAAGACTCCTAAACACTTATTTTATATTGTGTAGAACAAGATTTGTTGCCAGATTTAACGTAAGTTAATCTGTGATCCTACCCAACCAAAAGGGGGTGGATTCAAATTAAATTGCTTAAAATCCCTTAAAGAAAGGTGAATCATAAGCTAATTTGCTAGTAAATCCTTAAAAAGGTAAGCTTTGCGCCAAACTGCTTATAAATCCTCCAAGACAGGTAAAGCATGCGCTAAAATAGCTAATAAATCCTAAAACAAGGTGTAGCATTTTTAACACTGAAAGAAAAGTGTTTCTTTGATATCACAGAAAAGGGTGAAGCATAAGCAAAATTGCTTGTAAGTCCTTAAAAGGTAAGCTTTGCCCCAAACTGCTTATAAATCCTCAGAGACAGGTAAAGCATGCGCTAAAATAGCTGGTAAATCCTAAACAAGGTGTAGCATTTTTAACACTGAAAGAAAAGTGTTTCTTTGATATCACAGGTTTAAAGATAACCCGTGACCCGTTTCTACACACATAAAAATAAGTCCTTACAATATGTATATGTAAATATACAAATATAGTGGGTACTGACTGGATTGTGTTCTTTTGAAATTTCTTCATAACTTGTGTTTTTGTGCCATCAGCTGAAAATGGATCCAAGCATCCTCTATTCTGGGCACACCATTGAC